GTCTGGTTTTTGCTGACTGTATAGAGCTTCTCCAGCTTCAGTGGCAAAGAATGTAATCAGTCTGATTTCAGTATTGACCATCTGGTGATGTCCATGGGTACAGTCATCGCTTTCGTTGTTGGAAGAGGGTGTTTGCTATGACTCGGGCGTTCTCTTGGCAAAACTCTGTTAGCCTTTGCCTTGCTTCCTTTTGTACTCCAAGGCCAAACTTGCATGTTATTCCAGGTATCTCTTGACTTCCTCCTACTTTTGCATTCTAGTCCCCTATGATGAAAAGTACATCATTTTCGGGTGTTAGTTCTAGAAGGTCTTGTAGGTCCTCATAGAACCATTCAACTTCAGTTTCTTAGATATTATTGGTCGGGGAAAAACCTTGGATTACTGTGCTAGTGAATGGTTTGCCTTGGAAACAAACAGATCATTCTGTTGTTTTTGCAATTGCATCCAAGTTCTGTATTTCAGACTCTTGTTGACTATGATGGCTACTCCATTTCTTCTAAGGGATTCTTGCTCACAATAGTAGATACAATATAGTTACAGAAAAATCAATAAATAGAAAAGAAAACCTTGTAACAGATGGATAAATTAGATGGAAGTCAAATGTGGGCTACCTAATTTAGAACCCACTTAAACCATGTATTTCTCAGTTTCCCATCAAATTCCAAACCTTCTAAGTTGAATAAATCAACTATAAAGGGGAAAAGAAAGTGGCTTTAAAACAACAACAAACCAAATTCAAATTCTTGTTTCTAAGGAGAAAGACTTGAAAGGCTCAGAGGGAATTTGGGGCATCAAGTAATTCATATAAAACACAATTTTGATGAGCTAAGTGTAAATGAATCAGAAACATATGGCTTACATTTCTTTTAAACATGGGTTTACAAATTAAGGGAAAAAGTGGTTGGTGAAACTCTTTCTGGTTTTGCCCAAACCCTAAATGTTCAAGAAACAGCTTGAGATGTTCCATGAACCCAAATGTGGTGATATTCAACCATTCCTGCTGTAAACTATTGTGCAAGCTGACAGTTTTGATTTTTATGCCAAGTATGGGACTTTCTGAAGTCTTCTCTTTTTCAGAGGCATCCATCCTATTTTCTTATGTAATTAGGTGTTTTTGTTCAAGAAAACAGAATTCATGCACATACACATGTGATAATTAGGCCCTTGGTTCTCCATTAAGGACTAGATTTCAAATCTGGATTTATTTTCGTACATATTCAACCTACTTATTGATGTTTTGTTCTTCTGAGGGGTTACTTAGGTTGTTCAAAGAGTAGCATATATATCTCTGGAAACCGAGTTTCTTAAAGTACCTGTTCACAAATAAGTTAGAGTTCCTGGCCTTAAATATGGGCTGTGATAGGACTGCCACCTTGTCACTTTATTGTGCTCCCTTCGTGGTGAAGAGCAACACTGAATGAAGCCTGCTCCATTTGCAAGAGAATGGCATCCCCATTCTAAGCAAGTGTAAACCCACAGACCACCCCTGTGCAACATGAAATTTAACTTCACAACTAGTGTCTCATATTCTGATATCTTGGACCCGAAAAGCTAACATAGAAATCATCTTCTGTGGCCCATATCTGTCTTGCTTCAGTTTTTCCATCTCAAAATGCAAAATGTGGATAATTCTAGGACCTCCCTCAAACTCCCCTTGAAAGGATTAATCCTTTTAATTCTGTAAAAACTCTGCATGGTGCCTGGCACGTAAGTAGTAGGTACCCAAAACACGTTGGTAATTCTGATGCCTGTTGTTAACAAGTTCTACTCATCTCTCTTCTTTGTGTCTCACTGGTGGGAGAATAATAGAGAATAAGGATAATACACTTTTATGAGAAAAATGTCTCAATTTAGGAGTCTATCTAGTCTTGCCAACTGACTGCAAATGACTACAAAGCATATGCTAATGTAAAGCGGCATCAAAGACGGTTTCTTCCTGGATATGCTAAAAAGCACAGGCACCCTCAATGGTGGCCAAACAAAAAGAAATGTGAATGGCTTATAAAAATCACAAAAACAGCAGCCTCATTCCCATTCACCTCCCATAGCTTATGCCCCTGCCCTTTGCACCTGCCCCAGTGGTGACTCAACCGGGGCTCCACAGGAGCCAGGATGGGGCCAGGTCAAGACCCTCAAGGGACATCTCCTCGCCTTTTAATGCGAGCTGAAAATCCAGAAATTCAGCCTCTGCCTGCTGTAAGTCAACAAATTAGTAGTGTTGATGGCAATGATGAACGTGTACCCAGTGAGCCAATCTTAGATTATCTGTTTTTTTAATCTACTGCCCTTGTTTCCAAGCTGTACTGTTTATTGTTAGGTAATTAGAATAGGGAAAAGGAGTCCAAAATGGCAGTGGCTAAAAGACAAGGGAGGAAAAAGCCCGCAAAAATAGAACAGAGGAAGGTCAAAGGAAGGTCCGAGGACCGGAGTGAGGACTTCAGGTAGAACAGCGCTCCTGCCTAAGCCCAATTTGCATGGGGCAGGCCCCGGGGGAAGAAAAAAACATATAAACATATAAAAAGGGGAGCCCTCTCTCTGTCTCCCACACCTGCATATGCTCTTTCTCTCTCTCTCTCTACCCCACACGCTGGCGTGCTCCTCCACTCTCTCCTCTTCTTCGAGGATGGATTCTCCTGCTATTTCCTAAATAAAACAGAGCTGTAACACTGATTTGTCTAAGAGCTATGACACGGTTTGTCCAAGACCCGAGAGCTGTGACACGCCAAGGGGACTTTAATGTCCGTCGCTCCAAATCTTTGTTGTGACGAGACAAAGAACCGAGGAGCATACACTCGCCTGACATTTATGAAGATCATCAGAAGGGAGGGAGTGGGTAGGAGGAGTGGAGTTTTCAAAACAATGATTTATGGTAGAAATTAGTTGTGTCATTTAGCCATCCGGTCAGTGGGTCCCCTATACCTTAGGGCAGCATTCAAGTTCACCTGTAAGTTTATTTCTCACTATTCCTTATTTGAGTCAAATAAATTTATTTCTCACTATTTCTTTTCACATGCTCTGGACTCTAAAATTAATTCCATTTTGTCATATCTTTAAAAAATGATTGCTATATTATGATTTATACTTTTCACTATAAATTAAATATTTCATAACACAGTCTCAAACTAACCAACAAATACACACATTAGGCTATACCTTTTGGTCTCTTTACCAACTGAGCTATCAGAAATGGCAACCCACTCCAGTACTCTTGCCTGGAAAATTCCATGGACTGAAGAGCCTGGTAGGCTATACAGGCCACGGGGTTGCAAAGAGTTGGACGCGACTGAGCGACTTCACTTTTGGTCTCTGGCCACCCTCCTGACCCAGGGATCAAATCCATAACTCCTGCATTGTAGGCGGCTTCTTTATTGTCTGAACCATCAGGGAAGCCCCCCCAAAAACCAACTCTTTGGGACCCTATGGACTGTAGCCCACCAGGCTCCTCTGTTCATGGGGTTTCCCAGGCAAGAATACTGGAATGCGTTGCTATTTCCTTCTCCAGGGAATCTTCCCAACCCAGGGATCAAACCTATGTCTTTCTCATTGGCAGGCAGAATCTTTTCCACTGAGCCTCCTGGGGAGCCCTTTATACCTTTATTATAATGCAAATCAAATCTGAACCAAGTACTTATTTGTTGCTAAGTTACTTCAGTCACGTCTGACTCTTTGCGACCCTATGAACCGTAGCCTGCCAGGCTCCTCTGTCCCTGGGATTCTCCAGGCAAGAATACTGGATTGGGTTGCCATGCCCTCCTCCAGGGGATCTTCCTGAACCAGGGATTGAACCCACATCTCTTTAGTCTCCTGAATTGGCAGGCAGGTTCTTTACCACTAGTGCTACTTGGAAAGTGCTTATTATGCTGCAAATCAAGTCTGAATCAAGTACTTGTTTAAAATGCTTTGAAGTCCTCTCCATTGCTTTTCAGACAGTGCAAATTCTGATTTGCAAATGCCTCTGGTCTCTGAAATCTGGCTTCCCAAACTTTCATTCCCTATCTGTGTATACATGACCTCCCTCAGCAAGCCCAGTATGTTGTATACTTCATTGTGCTTGAGTCTTTGAATATGCTGGTTCTTCTGGTTGGACGCTTCCCTGTTCTTCCTTCCATCTCCTTCTTCACCTTCAGATCTTCGGTAGCTCTAACTTCCTCTCTGAAACCCTTTCTGGTGTTTCCCACATCACAGTGTTTAATCATAGATATTACAATTGCCGGTTTGACTCCCCCAGAAGGCTCTAAGCCCCTTAAGCACAAAGACAGGGTTGTCTTGTTTATGGCTGTAGCCCCATTGTGAATTAGTAAATGTTTACCAAATGAATTATAGCCCTTGTTACACCTGTGCTTCTGCTCGCTGCAAAGCTCCTTGAGGATAAATTTGTCCTTATCGTATTTTCTGTGTACCTTAGCTCTATCAATCTGGAGATGGTTAATTTTCCTCTTTCTTCTTTAATTCGGCCAAACAATTTGAAAGGAATGAAGAAAATCTGGAGAAAGGGCTTTGGTCTTAGGAGGCAGGAAGGGTTTGGATCAGTTGTTGAATGTATGAGTTTGAGACTACAGAAGGGACGAGCAGATACTTGGGTAATAGGTGGGAGAGAATGATCTTGCCTTTAAGGTAAGGCCACTTAATGTGAAGAAAGTGGGAAATACACTTTCAGTTTCCTTAAAAAAAAAAAATTTCTATTCTGAGATGCTTTATTTTGGAAGCCAAATTTTAAGTTTTGGAACTCCACACTGGCTTTTAAAGCTGCTTTGAAAACTCTTTTATCTCTAAAATCAGTTTGGATTTGAGTTGATTAAAGTTTTGTCCCTATTTTCTGCCCCTCGGCACTGTGGAACAACACTGGTTTCTTTTTCCTGATTCCAAGGCCCATGTGGCGGTTCTGAACATTCCTGGGCTGGGCAGGGCTAATCAGTCCAGGTGCTGTGGATTCCAACTGTCCAGCACCTGGTAAATCAAGTTTGTTTTTTTCTTCCCCCTGTAGCACTGTATGTATGGAATTAATCTCTCTTACAGTAAAGACGCCCTGGTTGCTGTGCCATAGACGGACACATATACAAGTGCAGCAAGTAGAAATGGAAACTGATGAATTCCCTCTGTTGGGTGAACAGGTATGCACAGTAGGAATTAGGAGAACATTTTACCGCATCAGCCAGCATCTGCTGCTGGAGGAGAAGCTGCTGCTTCTGCTCCATGATCTGCCTCTGTAGAGTCTGTTTCTTTCCCATCAATTGCTGATTCAACAGTGATTGCTGGGAGTTCATGTAACCACTTCCAGTGTTTGGATTTGAGCAGGGGTTGGGACTTGGACTGGGGCCCGCGTTCTGGCCTACCACAGAGTGTTGATCCTGAAAAAGAGAAAGGGAGGGGGGCGGAAAGCTACTGTGAATTAAAAGAAAAAAAGTCACGCCGAGATCATAAGCTTAGATTCCAAACATTTTTCAGCTTGTTAAGATCAAACAAGGTTAATGGGTTGGAGATCAGAGAATCGCTTTTTAAACGTAGGAGAAATAATTGCATGTCACAGCAACCAAAGCAGCTGGGTTAATGACATTAAGGCACTGGAAAAGCTCTCATATGACTCTGATGGTGGAACCTCCACATTCCAGAAGGTGTTTATGGAACCTCGAAGAAAATTGTCGTAAAAACATACGACAAACCTCTCAATTGCTCAGGAACAAACACATCATAAAGCAACAAGTTCCTCCTTTTCCCTAAAGTTAGCCCATATCATGGCTGATCCTGCAATGAAAATCATTTCAATTCATGTATTTAAATGTTGAATAACCATTTTGGACAGAAAGGGCCTAGCTTTCTGTGATAAGGAGAACCTGTGAGTTTCTATTTCACAAACACTGAAACTTGTTAGGGATTTCACCTTTCAGGGGTTTGTTTCCCTGGTGGCTCAGATGATAATCTGCCCGCAATGCAGGAGACCCAGGTTCAATCCCTGGATTGGCAAGATCCCTGGAGGAGGGCATCGCAACCCTTTGCAGTATTCTTGCCTGGAGAATTTCCTGGATAGAGGAACCTGGAGGGTTAGTGTCCAGATTTGTTAATTTTCCTCCCTGATCAATAAGACAAGAACTGCAGCACATTAAATTAAAAGAACACCACTGACAACTAGAAGTTATTGGTCAAAGACTCACAGTTGCCTATTAAATAGTATTGGTGAACTGCCATTCTGATTTGAGGTATCTATCAATCTTTTGGCATTGACAGGTCAGGACATTGCAGGGCACAAAGCTAAAGCCAGCCAGAGATTTTACTAATTCCCAATGGTCTGTGTGTATAGGATTGAGCTGTACACTGTTGGGGTTACAAGAAAACTAGAAAACATAGTCCTCATTTTGGAGAATTTACCAGGAAGAAGTGACATGTTTACACATCAAATACAAGAAAGTATAAACTCAAGTTTTAGATAAATGATACAAGTACTAAATCAAAGGATCTGCCTTGCTCCAGAAAACTGAGGCTACAGATCAGGTACCTACTCAGGCGATTCTAATGCTCATGGGTCCAGAGAATACTCTTTGAGAAACACTAGATATATGGGAGCAATAAAATCCAACTTTCATTCCCACCTGGACTGTGTGAGGTTACAAGAGATTAAAAAGATAAAGCAGCTCCCATGATGACTGATGAGTGGTAAGCAGTAGGTACTCCATGTGTGGACTTGCCTTCTCTTTCTTTAGTTATCTATTGAGCTTAAAAAAGAAAAAAAAAAAAAAGCCACCAGTCCAAAGCCTGGGTATGTATGTGGTCTTGCTTTAGTAATCCCTGGGGATACAGAATTCACCAACTGCCTCAAAGGCAAAGGAATACAAAATAATTCTAAAATGACCATGCACTCGGGTTTGATACAGGCCAGTCACTGTGCTTAATAAGGGGCTTCCCAAGTGGCTCAGTGGTAAAGAATCTGCCTGCCAACGCAGGAGACCTGGGTTCAATCCCTGGGTCGGGAAGATCCCCTGGAGCAGGAAATGCTAACCCACCCCAGTGCTCTTGCCTGGGAAACCCCACAGACAGAGGGGCTTGAGGGGCTACAGTCCATGGGGTCACAAAAGAGCCAGATGCGACTGAACAGGAGCCTGACACACACTGTGCTGAGTGGCTTAGTGTATGGCTCAGCTGGCTTAATGGCTCAGGTGATTTATTTCAATTCATCCTCCTCACAGAACAATGAGCAAGAACTAGCATTTTCATCCTAATTTTGCAGATGAGAAATCTGCCTCTGAGAGATCACTTGGCTCTAAGTAGCTGAGGAATATTAAGCCAGGCCTGCCTGACTCCAGAAATCCAGTTCTTAATCACTGTACTGTCTCTTAGTTGAGTCAGGAAGAGATAGAGCTTCATACTCTGGGCCAAGCCATCTCTGTGCAGCCAACGTGTGTTGCGCATTCCTTTCAGGGGTGACTCTCAATCAGGCACCTGGAAAGAGCATGTTTTGGGGAGAAAGGCACAGCTGGGGGTACTGGTGGTCCTCCTCATCCGTTCATGAAAAATAATTAGAGTCAGCACTGAGGTAGGAAAGCTCTGACAAACCTAGACAGCCTATTAAAGAGCAGAGACATCAGTTTGCCAACAAAGGTCTGTATAGTCAAAGCTATGGTCTTTCCAGTAGTCATGTATGGATGTGAGAGTTGGAACATAAAGAAGGCTGAGTCTCAAAGAACTGATGCTTTCAAATTGTGGTGCTGGAGAAGGCTCTTGAGAGTCCTTTGGACAGCAAGGAGATCAAAGCAGTGCATCCTAAAGGAAATCAACCTTGAATATTCACTGGAATGGCTGATGCTGAAGCTGAAGCTCCAATACTTTGGCCACGTGATGTGAAGAGCCAACTCACTGGAAAAGACCCTGATGCTGGGAAGGATTGAGGGCAGGAGGAGAAGAGGGCAACAAAGGCTGATATGGTTGGATGGCATCACCGACTCAATGGACAAGTATTTGAGCAAATTCCAGGAGATGGCGAAGAACAGGGAAGCCTGGGATGCTGCAGTCCATGGGGTCGCAAGGAATCAGACATGACTGACTAGACAACAACTGAGGCAGGAACATCCTCTGAGCAGCATAAAGGAACAGAACTGTTCCTAACACATCTGTGCCCAACGTTCAGTCAGAGCTCTCAGCCTTAAATCTATTACGACTCTTGGGAAAGATGGTTCTGCAAGCCACCAAGACTCTCCCATGGAGTGTGCATCTCTGTGGATTAGGGGTTCAGTTTAGGGTCCTGCTACTTTGCTCTTTGCTGTGCTGTTTCTATCATCCAATTTAACAGAGCAATCAGTATACATTTACTATGTACTATGTCTTAATTTCCTCATATAAAATGAAGGTAATTTTATTTATGACCTAAGATTACGCTGGATGAAATTTAGAACAGTTCTAGGCACTAGATGAATTGTAGCCATTACTATTTTTCTTATTTCCCCATTGCTGTATTTGTGTAGAGCAGAGATACTTTGGAAACTGCTGCTTTTGCGAAGGAACTTGTGCTGGATGCGCACTTGGACTACATGTGTGCTATGTTCAGCGTCCATCACTTTAGAAACACCCCTCTGCAGGTGGCCACAGTCCCCACTGTGCCTTATTTTATTACTTGCACCCTTTCCCCCTCATTTCTATTAGTTATCTGGCCCACGTGCGCATTTGAAGTTAAGATCTCTGGCTTTATATTTTAAAGAAGACATACAGATGGCCAACAGGCACATGGAAAGATGCTCACCATCCCTCATTATTAGAGAAATCACAACTACACTGTGGTATCACCTCACACCGGGCAGAAAGACCAACATCAAAAAATCTACTAACAATAGATGGGAGAGGATATGGAGAAAAGGGAATCTTCCTGTTGATGGGAATGTACACTGGTGCAGCCCCTGTGGAGGACAGTTCCTAAAAAAGCTAAAGATAGAGTTACCATTGATCTGGAAGAGATGAAAATTCTATTTTGATGGGTGATTTTTAATAATTTCATTTAGCAAATATTATTTAGTATCTATTGTGATTCAGGTACTATGCTAAATGCAAACTGTACAAAGAAGAATGACCTAATTTATTGTGTATTGATTGGAAGTTAATTTTTTACAACTCCATGAAATTAAAGGGAAATTAATATAATTAAATAACTGTTGGCTGTATTGGTAAGTGGAATGTGAAAGCAATTAAGAGAACTGATTGTTGTTGATTTCAGCATTATACTCCATGAAAACTGTTTTAGCAGAAATGTTAAATTTAAAAAAATAATTGGGAAAGATACATGCACCCCAATATTCACAGTGGCACTCTTTACAATAGCCATGACATGGAATAGCCTCCATGGCCATCAACACTCACATGGATAAAGAAGATGTGGTATATAAGCATGCATGTGTGCTATGTAGCTTCAGTTGTGTCCAACTCTTTGTGACACTATGGACTGCAGCCCATCAGATTCCCCTGTCCATGGGATTCTCCAGGCAATAATACTCAGGTGGGTTGTCATGCCCTCCTCCAAGGTATCTTTCCGACCCAGGAATCAAACTGGCATCTCCTGTGGCTCCTGCATTGCAGGTGGATTCTTTCCTGCTGAGCCATCTGGGAAACCCATGTGTACCTATATGTATACACACACACACACACACACACACACACACACACACACACACATACACACACACACTGGAATATTACTCGGCCATAAAAAAGAATAAAATTATGCCATTTACAGCAACATGGATAGACCTAGAGATTATCATACTAAGTGAAGTAAATCAGACAAAGACAAATATATGATACACTTATATGTGGAATCTAAAAATATGATACAAATAAACTTATTTACAAAACAGAAACACATTCTCAGACATAGAAAAAAAACATAGTTACCAAAGGGGACAGGAGTATGGAGAAAGGAATAAATTAGAAATTCGGGATTAGCAGATACTACTATACATAAAATAGATAAACAACAAGGTCCTACTATAGCACAGGAAACTATAATCAATATCTTGTAATGAATTATAATGTTTCTATAATATCTTGTATAATATTGAATATATATATAAATATATGTGTGTGTGTGTGTGTGTGTGTGTCTATGTGTTAGTTGCTCAGCTGTGTCTGACTCTTTTCGACCACCATGAACTATAGTCTGCCAGACTATTCTGTCCATGGAATTCTCCAGGCAAGAATATTGGGGTGTGTTGCCATTCCCTTCTCCAGGGGATCTTCCTGACCTAGGGACCGAACCTGCAGGCAGATTCTTTACCATCTGAGCCACCAGGGAAGCCCATATGTGTATATATGGGTTTATATATATATATAAACTGAATCACTTTGCTGTACACCGCAAACAAACACAACATTG